AAAGAAAACAGAAAGGTAAATCAGCCACCAATTTGTTTGGTACCTCTCACATTCTCCACACTGGATGTTCAAAGTTTTCATTTTCAGGATCTGATGCACAGTGTGAATGCCTTCCTCATGTGTAAAGCTCTTGGGCTGAACTTTTCCATGTGAAAACTTTGTTCAATTGATTGAATATGGAGAATTAGTAAAAGGAATTTATTAAATTGTTATCATTTGAGACAGAGTCTCACTCTGTCACCTAGGCTGTAGTGCAGTGTGATGTTGGCTCACTGCAACCTTCACCCACCCAGGTTCAAGCGATCTTCCCACCTCAGCCTCCCCAGTACCTGAGACCACAGGCATGCATCACCATGCCTGGCTAACTTTTGTATTTTTGATAGAGAGGGGTTTTTGCCATGTTGCCTAAGCTGGTCTTGAAATCCAGGGTTCAAGTGATCTGCCTGCCTCAGTCTCCTGAAGTGCTGAAATCTCAGGCATGAGCCACTATGGCTGGCCAAAAATTTACTTTGAAAGTCTTTTTAGGCCAGACTTGTTAGCTGGGCGTGGTGTCCTGCGTCCATAGTCCTAGTTACTTGGGAGGCTGAGGTGGGAGGATTGCTTGAGGCTAGGGGGTAGAAGTTGCTGTGAGCTGAGATCATGCCACTGCACTCCTGCCTGGGAAACAAAGCCAGACTCTCTAAAGCATACCCCAAGACAAGGGATGTGCCTTACTGAGTATGTGACTTACTGAGAAAATGATCCTCTGGATGGGGAAGGAAAAGTAACAAAGCAAAGATGTGGTCTCACATAAAGTCTAGCCTTGGCCTGACCCATAAGACAGGGGCTCTGGAATATAAATTGCATAGCAGAGTGGTCACTGAGTCAAGGGACTTGACTTTTATACTCCTTCCCCCCATCCGTCAGTTATCAGCTGCTGGGAATGGAATGGTGGTGTAATCTACTAGATGTCTCCAAATAGCCAAGGGCAATTCATGGGAGAACTTCACAGAGTTACACCATTGTGGGGATGGGTGTGTAACTTCCCAAGGGGTCCTTCCTGTCCACTGCACCCAGAAAGATCACAACATTGCAGTAAAGAAAGAGTTTAATAGACACAAGCTCAGCCACACCACATGGGAGATGGCATTAGTACTCAAATCATCTCCCTGAAGGCATGGAGGTTATGCGCTTTTCAAAGACAGTTTGGTGGGCAGGGGACCAGGGTAGGGGGCAAGCTGATTGGTTGGGTTGGAGATGAAATCATAGGGAATTGAGGCTGTCCTCTCATGCTGAGTCAATTCCTGGGTGGAGGCCACAGGAGGGGTTGGCGGGTCCAGGTGAGGACATGTGGTTGTCAGAAATGCAAAAACCTGAAAAGACATCACCATGTTGTAGGTTGTACAATAGTGATGTTATCTGCCAGAGTAATTGGGGAAGTTGCAAATCATATTACTTCCAGAATAATGGCTGGTAAGTATTTAGAATTCAGACCTTCTTATCCTCTAACTTGGTGGCCTTTTATTAGTTTTATAAGAACAGTTTAGTCTTTGGGAAGGGGCATTACCATTTAAATTATAAACTAAATTTCTCCAAAAATTAGTTTGGCCCATGCCCAGGAATGAGCAAAGACAACCAACCAGTGAGGCTGGAAACAAGATGAAGTCAGCATGCCAGATTTCTCTTACTGTCATAATTTTGCAATGGCTGTTTCAGGTGTAGTGGCCTGTAAAAAACAAACTAGGAAGAAGAAAAAGAATTGAGAGGGTTTCCAAGATTCTGTGCTAGTGTAAAACAACCAGGTAAGTGGAATACTCTACATTTGTAATTTTAAGCTGAGGTGTGACTGTCCCAGATGTCGTCTGTTATTTAGGAAAAATAATAGATTTCATTTACTTGCTAGTATAAATCACTAATTTTGTTTTAATGTTTTGTGTTAGTTTCCTAGGGATGTCATAACAAATTACCACAAACTGGGTGGCTTAAAGTGATAGAAAGTTACTTTCTCACAGTTCTGGAAGCCAGAAGTCTAAAATTAAGGTGTGGACAGGGTCATGCTCCTTTAAAAGCTCTTGGGAGGAACCCTTCCTTGCCTCTTTCAACTGTGATGATTGCCAGAGATCCTTGGTGTTCCTGTAACCACCTAACATGTTCTCCTTGCCTGCTGCCTAGACAGAGCCAACTTATCAAGACAGGGGAATTGCAATAGAGAAAGAGTTTAATTCATGCAGAGGTGGCTGTACAGAAGACTGGAGTTTTATTATCCCTTAAATCAGTCTCCCCAAAACATGGGGATTGGGGTTTTTAAGGATAATTTGGTGGGTAGCGTTCAGTGAGTTGGGAGTGCTGATTGGTTGGGTCAGAGATGAACGCATAGTGAGTTGAAGCTGTCTTCTTGTGCTGAGTCAGTTCCTAGGTGGGGACCACGAGATCAGATGAGCCAGTTTATTGACCTGGGTGGTATGGCTGATCCACTGAGTGTAGCATCTGTTAGGTTTTACAATAGAATAGTGATATTATCACTAGTAGCAATTTGGGGAGTGTCAGAATCTTGTAACCTCCAGCCGCATGACTTCTAAACCATAATTTCTAATCTTGTGGCTAATTTGTTAGTCCTACAAAAGCAGTCTAGTCCCTAGGCAGGAAGGGGGTTTGTTTTGGGAAAGGGCTGTTATCATCCTTGTTTCAAAGTTAAACTATAAACTAAGTTCTTCCCAAAGTTACTTCAGCGTACACCCAGGAATGAACAAGGACAGCCTGGAGGTTAGAAGCAAGATGGAGTCAGTTAGGTCAGATCTTTTTTACTGTAATAATTTTCTCAGTTATAATTTTGCAATGGCAGTGTCATTCCTTGGCTTGTGGCTAGTAACTGCAATCTCTGCCTCCATCTTCACAGGGCCGTCTTCCCAGTGTGTCTGTGTCTCTGTGTCCAAACCTCCCTCTCTTTCTTCGAATAAAGATCCAAGTCCCTGGATTATGCCCCACCCTAATCCAGAATGACCTCATCATAACTTGATTACTTCTGCAAAGACCCTAGAAAGGCGATTTATTAGAGAAAGTATAAAAACAGATTGCAAGAACGCAGTGGCCAAATCAGCATGAGAGAAGCTGACTGCAAGGAAACAAAGGCTTGCTGGAGATTTTATAGAATAGTGTTTATGCTGTAAACTGAAAAGGGCTTTGTGCAGTACTGATAATGCCAAAGTTGAAATGAGCTACCTTGCAGGTGTGTGGTGATGGTTGAGCACAGGAAGATTGTGAATTGTTTGTACAAGAGGGCTATGTGTCCTGGACCATGAAGAAAGGCAGACTTAGAGCTTATCTGCTTTCTGTTCTTGCTTTCCCTTGGTCCTGCCAGCTTGACTCCTTTTCCCTAATTAGGACTCCACAGTTAACTTGGTCCATGCCCAGAAATGAGCAAAGGCAGCCAGCCTGTGAGGCTAGAAGCAAGATGGAGTCAGCCACAGCCATCTCAGATTTCTCTCACTGCCATAGTTTTGCAAAGGCAGTTTCAGAGTAAAAGGATTAAACACTTGGCCCTAATTGTTCAATAAATAAGAAAAATGATAAAAAAAAAAAAGCAGCAATATAGTGAAATTTATTTCTTGTTTAGGTGCCAAATATCCTTCTAAAGTATGTTGTGTGTACTTACTCAACAAGCCCTCGCATCAACCATATTAGATAGGCTTATTACTATTTCAGTTCCACATGTGAGGAAAGTGATGCTCACGGAGCTAGAGCAATTTGCTAAAGGTCCCTTAGGCATCAAGTGGAGCAGCTGAGGTTTGAATACGGGTGATGTGACCTAATTCAACAAGGTCCCAATGAAAATGTACAGCAGTGAGGTCCAGACATAAGGGACCATTTTCCAATTATTTTACCTTGCTACTTACGATACTTAGAGTAACATAGTAGCCACATTGTAAAAACATTTCTCATTAAAAAGTAAAAAACAGGCCAAGCGCAGTGGCTCACGCCTGTAATCCCAGCACTTTGGGAAGCCGAGGCAGGCGGATCACTTGAGGCAGGAACTGGAGACCAGCCTGGCCAACATGGTGAAACCCCGTCTCTAATAAAAATACAAAAATTAGCTGGGCATGGTGGCACACGCCTGTAATCCCAGCAACTCTGGAGGCTGAGGCATGAGAATATCTACTGCACTGGAGCCTGGGCGACAGAGTGAGACTCCATCTCAAACAAACAAACAAAAAAAAATGGCAAGCGTGCCCCTGCAAATGTCCTAATTTTTGTTTGTATCTACTAATGGGTTCGTTGCTCATTAGTTTCTTATCTTATAGAGCTGGAGATTTTTAGAATCTAGAAAGATTTTATTTACCTGCAAGCCTACAACAGTTATCGACATGCTTTAAACTGTAACACGTTGTAAGTGCTCAAAAACATTTTACCACAGTTTAAAGCAAGACATATGAAATTGATAGAGGTGGGTCACATGCGTTATTCTTTGGCAGTGCTTTGCATTTGCGTTGTCTTCCTCCTAAGCATTTACTTTTTAAAAGTAAGGAATCTGAGCAGGATGCAGTTAAAGAACTTGGAATTTATCCAATTGTGTTCTACTGCTGTTTGACAATTTCTTTCCTCATCAAGAAAACAGTTTTCAGAAACAGCTGATTTTCTCGGGAAAAACATCAGGCCCCACTGGGAGTCGAACCCAGGATCTCCTGTTTACGAGACAGGCGCTTTAACCAGCTAAGCCATAGAGCCACGCGGAAGCGCCATTTAAAAGTGAATCTATCTCATTTTACTTTGACAAAATGAGTTTATTGAGTGTTAACTGCTGTCTTCAAAAAATATGCCAACTCGAGAGATACTTCATTTCCTCAGTCTCTTTTGAAGACATACGAATACACGGGGAAACGTATTCGCCAGTTTACAGTGTCAAGGGATTTTTCTATTAATCCAAGAAAGAGCATTACAGAAAGCTATACAATACGTGGAGACCATTAAAAGGAATATATCTATACATAATTTTAAAAAACCTTCGAATCTTGAAAGTCACTCACTTAGGGTACGTGAAGCTGCCAAAGAGGAGGAACAGGCATCTCTCGCATGGAGCCGTGGGACTCAGCGTTAAGGCACTCTTCAGCTACAGGTGTCAGCCCGTTTAGCTCCTCTTCAGGTCTTGTGATGTCATTCTCAAGAGCAGAGTAAAGTTCTGTGTCATGTGGGGCCTCTCAGGAAGGGTACGGAGGTGGGGGAGGGGCGGGGCGTCAGGACTCTCTGCAGCTTTGCCCTGAAGGAATTTGGTCGACACTTTAAGACTAACCAAGAAAAAGTCATTTGGCTCAGTTTTCTCCCACCCTTTGTTTACTTCTGCTCCTCCTGGGCTTGTTTTTTGTTTGTTTGTTTGTTTGTTTGTTTGTTTTTCGGTTTTTTTCTCTTTTCTTTTTCTTTTTTTTTCCCCCTCAGTTCTGAAAATCACCTCCCAGAGCAGATAACGCGTTCTCCTCTGTAACCCGTCCTTGCACTCCCCGCGGGGGTCCCGGTTCTCATCCCTCCGGGGACCTGCAAGGAGCCCCGCCCGCGGGGTTTGAACCGCTTGCTGCTCAGCGTCCAGGAGCAGGCCCCCGCGTAGGGCCGGGGAGGGGCCGTGGGAATTCAGGTGCTTCTGCGGGGCCCAAGGCCCCCAGGGCAGGCGGGGACTGAGACGACTGAGGAGTGAGGGACAAGGAGGCTGGGACTGGGGAGGGGAGACCCGGGATCCGCCCAGAATGCTTTCGTGGGGTTGGAGAGGGCAGGACACAGCCTCTTCCGGCCCGTTAGGATCCGAAGACATGCATCAAATGCAAACGGATTACCGTCCTGGACTTTGGGAATTAAGGCCCTGAACGCAGTCAGCAAAAAGTAGATCTGTCTGTACAGACGTTTCTTTCCACGTCTTTCATAGTAAGGGCTTTATTAAAAAGCAGGGACTCGAATCCTAGGTGGGTAGATGGGAGGCTGGGACTGGGGAGGGGACGTCCTCTGTTTTCTGGTTGTGCACATTAAAAATGACTCTCCGCCACCTACTCCTAAACACAGCCAGCAAAAATGAGACGTCAACTAAGCGCTGTCTCAGCCCCAGAGCCAGGTCGGCCATGGGGATTTTCAAGCGTTTTCTTAATGACTGATTTTTCTAGAAGCTAATGGATTTTCTTCTCCCAGATGTAAAGGCTAAGGCTACTGCCTGCTTCACACCCGGATAGCATAAAAGACAGCGATGGGACCGAAACTCGTGTCTCCTGGGTTCTGGTTGGCTGGAGAGAGGGGCAGTGAACTCCCCGAAAATAACTCTGTCTTTTCTCAGTATCTGGGAGGACTCATTACAGGGTAGATAATCAGAATGGATGTTTGGCAAGTGGGAATCTTTGAGATCTGTGCACACAGTTTTAACTCTACTTTTGCCAGTTTGGAGGACATGAAGTTCCCGATGAGTGTATGTTAAAAGGGAATACAGAAGGCAATATACACAACGTTCTAAAAGAATTGCTTTTCATGGAGGCAAAGTGGCTAAGCAGTCCAAAGTGCTGGATGAAGGCTCTAATCTCTTGGGGTATGGAGATTCTAGCCTGTTTAGCCACAGAAGTCATGAAACCACTATGTGGTATTTTTTAAATAATGAGTTTTGATACTTAAAATAGAATTATTGGAGTGAATTTTGTTTGTTTCTGTTGAATTCATTATTCTTACACACACCAGCCAGATTCTACTTATTAATATTTTATTTGATATGTTGACCTTTAGATGTATGAATTGGATTGTTCTCATTTGATATGTTTTGTTTTTATTTTGGGTTCTATTTATGTCTGGTTTTGGTAACCTTATATCCCCTTTTTATGTCCTGAAACTATTCAACCCAGAAGAATTACCTGATCCTTGACAATTTGACAGCACTTGCCTAAGAGAATGAGGACCTTTCATGGGGCTTAGAAATAGAAAGACTTTTGACAGCCTCTTCATCTATTTCTGTGGTTCTTATTCTATGAGGATGTGTCACTTGAGTATGTCATAGAGTGTCTCTGATTCTCAGTTTCTTATTTGTTGAGGGATAATGATACTGAAGATTAAATGACTTATTGCTTATAACATTCTAGTATGATGCCGGGGCCATTCAAGCTTTCAATCAATGTTATTCTTATTGTCACATCAATATTGGTAATTTATATTGTCCTAAATCCTATCTCATTCACTATGCTTAGATTATCAGGGATTATCAGACATAGAGATATAAAGTTGTAAATAATATTTGCTTTTCCCTTAAGACACCTATCTCTTCTCTATTTATAAATGTCTCCTCTCTCATCACTAATTTTGAATTCTAATTTTATATTTTCCCTTGATTAGACATTCCACAGATTTGTATTTCAGTTTTATTTACAAAAATACTTTCTTAGCTCTCCTAGCATGTAAACAGATTTTCCCTGTGAATTCCTTTCTTCTGCTTTCATTTGGTGTGTTTTGTTGGTCTTCTAGTTGTTTCTGAAGTGAAATACTCACCAGTATTTCAGTCATTTAAAATCTTTCTAATTTACTTAAAAGATACACTTAAGTTACAAATGTTCTCCTCTGACCTGCTTTTGTAGCATTCTGCAGGTAGTGATATATGTTGTCTTATTGACATTCTATTCTACCTAACCTGTAATTTTAGTTTTGATTTTCTCTTTGAGCCAAGATACTTTAGAAGCATTTGACATTTTTAAAGTATAACATTTTATACTTTTCTGATTATATTTTGATGCTGATTTCCATCTTTATTTTCTAGTACAGTATGAATTTTCTAAATTAAAAAGTATTTTGATATTTTCTTACTGGACCATTGTATAGTCAATTCATGAATTTCTTGGGCAGTTTAAAATAGGGCAGTTAAAAATTCGCTATAAAGAATGTTATGATATCTATCAGGTCAGTGTTTTATTCTTATTTGTCTCTTATAATATTACTTATTTCTTTTTCCACTGATATTTCTTGAACTGAGTGCAATAAATTGAAGTCAATTACTAAATAGTGTCTGCCTTTCCACTTGGGTCTCCGCTGAATTTCTGCTGAATGAAAGTTGCTGCTTTATTTTGAGGATGAATATCAAAAAAACAAAAATCTTTATCTCCACTTAAACTGTAATTTTTAGCATTTTGCAGTACCCTTCTTTGTTTTTTTTTAATAAGTGTTGTCCAAAATCCCACCTCACATTATTTTAAGTCCTTGAGTTCTTTCTTTTTGTGAGTTTGCCTGATATTTTTGTCTCTTCTTTGTTTTCAAACTTCCGGATTGTTTCCAAGCCTGTGTGTAAGTGGCAAGCTGTGGGGAGGCTATGTGACGAGGTATATGCAGGGAACAAAGAGCTCAGAAAGACTAGTTTTTTATTTTCATAGCATTTTAAAACCCTAATTAAGAAATACTTAATCTTCCACTGGTTTATGTGGTCATCGTGAGCATTGTAATTGGATATTGAATATGTCAAATGTGTAGCTCTATAGAGAAATTGTGGGAATGGAATCTCTGATTCTAACCAAGAACTTCCCAGCGGCTTGAGTAAAATATGTTTCCAACCTGAAAATCTATTGCAAGTGGAAGATTCAACCTTTTAATGTTGATGTTTTCTAGGTTCCATGTTTGGTTGCCCTTTTTTCTGAGATGGTATTCAAAGGAATATTCCATACACTCATATATTTGAACCTTCCAAAATACTTTCAAATATCTTGCATATTTGGAATACTGATAACTTCCAAATATGTTACATAGACGTTTTTAGAATACCATATGATTATAGCCACTGCCTATAAGACATTTCCACCTTAGTATCTCATAGACACTCTGGACTCATCAAGTTCCTCCTATTATTGCTTTTCCTTTTGAATAGCACCACAACCTATTCTGTTAAACTGAAAACTATGTGATTACTGTAAATGACTCTCTTTGTCCCCTCATGCATTTTTTTCCTCAAGTGAATATGATGTCACTGCTCTTTAGATTCAAATAGTGATCCTTCCCTAACTAGCCACGGCAATTAGTATGATATTCTAAGCAGAACCTGCTATTGTGAAAACATGATTTCATGGAATTGAGAGTTTTTGCTATTCAGTTAAACTCTTTTTAACTATTTGCTATTCAGTCAAATATGCCAAATGTAAAATTCTATTTTTAATTTGATATTTGTTTTGTCTCTAGAGAAGCTTTTATTCTCAACAGAGAGATACAAACCTGATGTTTTGATGCACACATTTAAAAATCTGAATCAAGTTTGACATAAAGAGACAGTTAAATTTGCCAAAAAAAAAAATTATGAGAAATAATCACAAAAGATGGAATATATTATGCCAAATTTATTCTTTTTTGCATGAAGGGAATTGTGAACATTGACCTGATTAGTTTGGACCATCAAGAGCAGAGTTGAACCGTAATCTCCACAGCACCTCCAAATCCTGAAACAAGCTTTTCATCCCCACATTAATGCTGTTTTCTGTCCCTTCTGTCCCCCAACTGATGGGGCCCCTTAAAGTGTAGGATAAGTTTGAGCTTTGGTTCTTGACAAGGGACCCAGTTATGGAGGATCTGGAAGTCTTTTTTTCCTCCCGGGCCTTATACCCTATGCATATAACGCAGAGTCCACATTAATTGTCCGTTCACTCTTAAATTGAGAGAAGACAAGTTGAAATAAGGAGTTTAAAGTTTGTTTGTATTTGGGACTTAGATAGGCTCTGTGAAAATGCAGTGCTGGTTTAGGAAGGCATAAAGTGGCTGGTTTCAGAAGTCCTTGATAGCAGACATTGAGAGCTTGGCTTTTACATAATGTTGCAAATTATGAATATAGATTGAAGCCGGAAGGTACCCGTGACCCTTAGAACTCACAGTGACTGATGCAAATTAACTTTTTAACTTTTTTTTTTTTTTTACAGAGTCTCGCTCTGTCAGCCAGGCTGGAGTGCAGTGGTGCCATCTTGGCTCACTGCAACCTCTACCTCCCAGGTGCAAGAGAGTCTCCTGCCTCAGCCTCCCAAGTAGCAGGGATTACAGACACCCGTCAACACACCTGGCTAATTTTTGTATTTTTTAGTGGAGACAGGGTTTCACCATGTTGGCCAGGCTTGTCTCGAATTCCTGACCTCAAGTGATATGCCCGCCTTGGCCTCCTAAAGCACTGGGATTACAGGTGTGAGCCGCCACACCTGGCCAATTTTTTAAACTTTATATTAAGCTTCTAAAATAGATTATTAAAGCCATTAATAATTCCTCTCCTCCTTTGGTAGGAAGTTACAATTCGAGGACTCAATTTTTCTCTAATAAGAGAATAGAAAAATTGAATGTCATTTAGTTTTGATTACCATTCATCTTTCTGCTCCTTTCCAAATAACACTATTGTTTGTTCCATTATATATTCTATTTATGCTGTCTGTAACATATCTTCCATGTTACTAATGTACTTGTATGTGCATTTAACACAACTTACGAATTCTGCCTCTGTATCACAAGCTACTTACTAATTTATCTGTAGTTAACACATCTTGTGAATTTTGCCTTATCTTGTAAGTTATTAGTTTATGTACTATCTCTATTGGTTTTATCCATCCAATTTGTTTTCCTATTTCCTATATCTGAATATAATACAATCATACAGCAAACTCATATTTCAGGAGCCACTGAACTTAGAAGTCTTTGTTTTTGGAAC